CTCTGTTTAGCATGCATGTTATCCTCAAAAAGGCCAGCAAAGCTTCTTTCATTTCTAGCAGCCCTGGTGAAAAACATGAACGCAAATGGTAATACGAAATGGTAAGCAATGGCATGCAAGAAGATCTGGAAAAATTTTAGGAAGAAAGAGAAAAAACCAATGCTTTAGCTGATTAGCTTCTATGACTGGTGCATTGACAAGAATAATTGAGTCATTCCTGGTTGACAAAGCAATTCCTAGCAGGCAAAGATAGCCAGACAAAGTATTAATACAAAGGCAAGTGAGCATAACGTATAACTACGAATGACGATCAACAATTATTCCACTTACCATTGTACATAACAACATTGAGCCTGTGACATATTAAAATAGGATGCTTGTCTTTCAGTTCCGTGATAGATTTTCCTTCATTTTCAGTGAACTCATTCCAAAGAGGCAGCAGAATAGGATTCATTCTATGTAATAACAAGAACAGAGAAATGGCTATTATTTTTATACTATTGAGGTAATTGTGTCAACTGTTTCATGATTCATCATGAAGCAAAGAAAAGAGTTTACTCTTCATTCACAAGCCAAAATTTTTGCACCAGTGATTCACATGAACCTCCATGTACTGGAATAACCGACGATGCATGGATGACTATTCCAATGACATCTATATTAAGAAAAAAAAAGAAAAAATCAGATTCACCTTTTCTTTCATATAAGTGCGATAGAAAAATTCCATAAGTTGTGATCTATACTGACCAACAGTTTCATATTTCATGTCTGCGTAAGGAGGCAAGTCTTTATAAGCGGTGAAATCAAAGTGGAATGGCAACACACTTGAATTAGCTTCATCAATTTCCTCCACAACAGTTTTGGTGCTTATAATCCACTGGAGCTTAAGTCCATCAAGCTGGAACCTTTCAGTAGTAGCCCTGACTTCAGCATTTGAGATGCGATATCTTTTGTAAAGCTTGAGTTTAGGACCCATTTTCTGTATGGCATAGTCAAAAAGTTGTGACAGCCCCACCTCCCCCTAAGGCAAACCAAAGGGTTCGGCGGACCGCCTGTCCAGCTCTCGCCAGGACTACGGGGTCAAATCACTCCCAACTCTATAGCACGCGTGATAGAAACCAAAGAAAACGAACGATTGGGAAACCTCCAAGTTAAATGTAACTTACCATCTCATAATATTGTCGAAATCCCTGCCAGATTTTTATTTTTTCACACTTGGATACTATACTCGTCCGAAATCTCAGTAATGTCATTGAACTCCATGTAGCCAAAAGAATGAACACGTTCGAGCGGGATAACACATGTACATGATTAAACACTTATATATATATATATATAAATACATGATTGCAAATTTACAAATCAAAAGGGAGTTGTTGGATCGAAATACATTCAAGGTTTATATCTCTTGAGGAGCTATACAAAAGAATATATATCTAGCTCAACTCATGCTTCCAAATATCATTGTTCCCAAAAGATTTTCCTGTAAGGAAAACAAGGATAACAAAACAGGGTGAGCTATAAGCTCAATGAGGTACCAAAAATAATAACAGTCAAGAACCAAGGAACTTCATGCTCAATTAATCACATAGGTGTACCAAATAAGGAGATATATAAACAACTAAGACAGAAAGGATACAGATGACTCTCAGGAGCCAATTTCCCGTTGCAGTACTTGATCCGACTACGTTGACCCTTCGTCAACTTCCAACTAAAGAAAACCAATCCAGTAGAACACCGCTTTAACGCCGAATCCTGTTCACCATTAATAACCCTTACCGGGCCCGAACGCCAAATAGAAACAGGAATGGTAATACTCAAGTATACCGGAATCAAGAGTCTCAATACTCAAAGATTCCATAAAACAGGCACCCACGGATTGTCAATTTTCTCGACCAAGCCCTTGCATGGCTCGATTTAATTAACTCCCCATGAGGTTGAGCTCAGGTTTAACAGGACGATCAAGTTTAACAGGACGATCGTGGACACACTTCCAAACGATCGAATACAAGTGCAAGTAACAAGTTCAAGTACATAACAAGTACCAGTAATAGATTCCAGTTTGTTCAGTACAGGCAAGAGAACGAGTGTGATAAAGTACACCCTCGTCTCATACAAGATAAACGGTCAGGAAAGATATTCAAGTAGCAAGTTGCAAGTACAGAAAACCAGTTTAACAATAACTCAGGGGAGTGGTACACTCACCAGATCAAACAAGGATAATTTCAAAAGTTTCCTTCCCAAGCGTGGCTTTACTCGTCGTTACCTCCTAGAACAATCAAGGCAAACACTTAAGACTCGACTCCAAGACCGAGTATGGAATTCGCAAGTGAGACTCGGTTACGAGCCGTATGCCTAGTCAAAAGAACCATTAATGCAAAGCAAAGAGGTGACCTCGGAGTGAAAAGATAACAATTAGTCTTAAAAGCATGAACAACCTCAAAGCCCTTCCTACAATGACTAACCAAATCCAAATTCGAAGTAGATAATGAAAGCAAGATCAATACTAGGAAAACAGAATTTTTCCAGTTCCGCACGACCTTATATGAAAAATCATATCTCAAGTTTTGTAAGTCCAAAATTAATAAAAGTTATACCGTTGGAAAATACATTCAAAGGGCTATAACTTTCCAGAAAACACTATTGTAAGATTCAGAAGGTAAGTCAGTCGAATTCAAGTCGCAAGTTGCTGCTTTATCCAGTGGAGGACAGAACAGGTACAAGATTTCAGTCAACTTTGAAAAATCACCATAAATTGGACAAATAGAAACAGGATCTGAAATTCACACGGTTTATAGCCCTATGAATCTAGTTTAAAACGCAACAAGCAGAACTCAATTCCGACATTTCTACATCAAGATATAGCAAATCTCCCGAGACTGCACCGAAGCTCCTACAAACATTTGGACAGCACTTCCCCTTGTCTCTCTTTACTTTTCCAGCCATCAAGGCTTCTTTTGTTTTCCTCAATCACCCCCAAAGGCACACACAAAATAAGTTCATTAAATATCCATTCAGTAAGTTCCAAGTAGTACAAGTACAATTCAAGCTAGGAAAAAGTCCGGAAATGAAAGTTAAGCTCAAAACCAAAAAAATAGTTTTTGACATCATTTTACGGTAATGGCACCAAAGGCACTACGATTATCATATGAAGGTGCAAGACCCACCATTTCGAAGCTAAAAGATAGGGCTACAATGTTGAAGAAGGCTAATCAGACCAGTTTCTAGTTCAATCAGGTAAAAAATGCAATATACTACACCAGAACCGCAAAAACAGATTCACAAACCACATTTTGGTTCAAACAGCATAAATCAGCCTACTTAAGTCCAAATCCAGTAATTCCAAAGCCATATGAAAGCTTAGAAACAGGGATACATTTCATCAGAAGACCTCAACAACCAATTCAGAAGCATTCTCAATCAAAATAACCCATTACAGAAGCAATTCCCAATTTCGGGTAAAACCAGGACAGCAAGGGTAATTTCGACTTTTCTCAAGCTACGCTACTCTGATTGACCTGAAATTTTGTAGGCACATCTAAAATGTTATTTCCTACAACTTTCATGTTTTAATCCAAAGTCAATTCGGCCTCTAACCATGAGCTACAAAACCGGGCAGAATGTATAACTTTGAAACCCTAGTTTTTCAATTTTCTTCCAAAACAGAAATTTCTTGCAATTAACCACTTTTTCCACCTCCTAGCTTCATTACATACCAATTCCAATCATCATACATGCCCACATAATCATATTCATATTAAATCAGAAAAATCACCAATAATTATAAAACTTCACCAATTCAACCAAAAATCAAGATTAATCCATAAACTTGCATCTCATACTATCACCAAGCATGAATTAAACATTATTAGAGGGTGGAAAGGAGTCCTTCACCACTCACCTTGGTAAACACAAGAGAGAGAGCAATTAACCACTTTAGCTTTCCAAATAACTCCACAAAACAACTCACAAACACTCCCTTAAGGGTTTCTATGGAACAAAAACAAGAGTAGATGGTTGAGTGATTGGATTTGAGCAAGAGGGAATCAAGAAATTGAAGAGGTTTTCTTTCTTTCCTTGTTTGAGAGAGCCGGCCCTTTGAGCTTGCAAATGGAGTAATTTTTGGTAAAGTTTTAGTTTATTAAGTCAAATGGTAAGACATGGAATAGTAGTCAAAAGTTCAATCCAATAGCCAAGTGACACTTGTCACCTAATTAATGCATCTCTATCCTTTTTGTTTCCTCTCAAACCAATCCAAATAGCAACCTCTATTTATCTCTTAACACCCGATAATTTAAACCCAGTATCCAAAACTTAACCTAGTTGGCCGAATTTTTCTAAACTTTTCGCACTAGTGGGTCCCACGTTCGGTATACGCTCTTAATTTCTCAAAAACTATTCGATACTAGAAAAATCACCTAAAAACTCTATCTGCTCCTTAAAAATATCTAGAAATTTTCCTAATCATGAAAATGCAGAAAACAAGCCTTTTAAAATATAAGAAACCTAGAAAATGGAAAATTACGGGTTCTCACAAAAGTACTCCCTGGACTTTTGACCCCTGGAAAAAATAAGTCGCATAGGAAAATTTGGCTACTTTATGGGTATTGAGTCCGAAACAATAAAGGTGCTATTCACTATCAAAGATGCATAGCATTAGGGGAAAATAAATCTCGCCAACAAGCTTTGAATAGTAATATAAGCATACCTTTGAGTCAACAAAAATAAACTTTTGCCATTTTGTTGCAGTGGAGGGTGCAGAGCCAACATTCAATTTTTCTTGGACTGTTACTATAGCTGTCCAAGATTTCATCCCAGGCTTTATGTCGTCGATAAACAAAAGATCACCCATTCTGCACCAAAGGTGTACGAAAGGCCACAAGGTTATGGCAGAACAAAAACAGAAGGGAAAGCAAGAGGCAAGTCTAATAAAAGCTGTTAGCAAGTCCAGAAAAAGCTTGTATAAATCTACCAAGTCGGGAATACCTTAGTATAGATAGTCATTTAGCAGCTAATTCAAGGATGTCACGATAGACAACATTCCTTGTTTTAGATTCAGGCACAATATTAGCAGGGGAAAATGTTGGTGGCATTATAAGGACCTTAACTGCACTGGCCATTTTAGCCCGAGACAAAGCAATGTATAACTGTCCGTGTGAAAGCACAAGTTCACATAGATAGATACCAACCCGATCTAATGTCTGACCCTGTGACTTATTGATGGTCATAGCAAAACACAGCTTCACTGGAAACTGTGTGCGTTTAAAAGGAATGCCATTTTTTTCATTATCAGATGTTTGAAGGGGAATCCTAGGCAGAATCACTCTCTTGCCTCGATGTTGGCCTACTGCAATTTCTGCACAAAGTGCATGTTGCCTAAGGTGTTTGCAAATAAGCCTCGTGTCGTTGTACAATCCCTCTGTTGGATTTAGGTTCCTAAGCAGAATGACCGGACAGTTTTCCTTTAAGACCAACTTATAGGGGGCAACCCTTTTGGATTCAAAGGGTTTAGGAAGTCTTGATAATCTCCCTGATCTCTTTCATTGAGCGTCCTATCCGTACTCATGAAAACAAAAGGCTGTCTAGGGAATCGTTCAATAAGCAAATCATTGATGTCATCAAGAGAGGATTTCTTCGGCGTAAGGATACACCTGCTGATCATTGCGTATGGGTCGGCTGAATAAGCATGCAGGTCTGAAAAGATGAAGCTTATCAACCAAAGTAAATAAGAATCTGGTTAGCTATAAGTGATACCCCAACTTTTAGGATCATCTTTTGTTTAGTCTCAAAGAGGATATTATGGTTTTTTTAGTTTATTTTTATTTTAAAACATTATTTTGTTTCAAAGAAGATACTAAAGTTATTTCTTTGGGTTTGAATTAAAACCTTGTTTTGTTTTAAAAGACTAGAAACCCTAAAAGTCTAATCAAAACCCTAGTTTCACTTGTGACTGACCGTTTTCTCAAATTTCTCATATTTTAATCGAAACCATAATTGTAACCAATGGAATTGTAAAATCCCCCATATTTTTCTTAAAATTCCTTTTATTTAGCATTTATTCCTTTCTAATAGCTTTACTACTCATTCACACCCTCAGTAATTACAATCCACCATAGAATCAAGGGTTTTCCCTTTAGGTTCTTCGTTCGGGTAAATTAGGATTTTTGCGTATTTTGACCGTGTGCTCACTCAGTGAGATGTGTGCACTAAATTTGGTGATTAAGAGTAAGTTTTAGATGATATTAAGTGTTTGATTAGAAGTAATAACCATAAGATAGTGAATCATAAGTGAAAACCCTAGTACGTGCGAAATAAGGAAAATCGGGTTGAACCGAAGTGTACCGTTCGTTACCGACTGAGTGCACCACTTGACCCATACTTTATTACCTTAATCTCCTTATTATTAATTGAAAAAAATCATACCTAAATATCTCCTTAATCCAACCGAAATTGTGGACCAAAATAAGAGAGAGAAAAGAAAATTTTAAAAGCTAATCTCATCGCGACAAGTGGCAACCATTCCATGGTTGTTTGACCAACTTAATTCCTACCTTCTTATCTTTCTTCTTAGATGATTTTTGTTCATTTCTTGCTGGTCTTGGTCATGGGTTTGGAGGGAAAAAACAATAGAAAGAAACCACAATCCATCTTGAGTTTGATCCACTTAAGTGAGAAAACAAGAAATCTAAACCGATTAATCACTAGTTTGGGAGCTTGGGAAGCTTAAGGAACCAAAAATTTCAAGGAAAAGTGGAGGATCTTTCTTGCAAGCTCTTGTCTTGAGGTATAATGGCTAATCAACCTTTCTTTCTCCATTAATCATGATTAAGTTGGGTATTAATGTTAGAATTGTGCTTGTGATGCTTGTTTCAAATGGTTTTTGATGATTGGAGTGATGATTTTGAGTCTTGATTCACTTATATTTCTTGTGGGTTAGGTGTTATATGATGTATATATATGGTATATAATCTTGTAAAGGAGAAGGTAGTGGTAATTTTAAGGTAAAAATGTGAATTATAGCTTGACTATAACAAAAGTCCAGATTTCTGGAAATTCAAGCTTCAGTTCTGCCCGGTTCCAGTTCGTGATGTTAGAGGCCGAATTAGGCTTAGCATAAAACATGAAAGTTGTATAGAATAATGTTTTATAGTTGGCTGAAAAATTACAGCTCAATCGGAGTAATGTAGCCTATAAAAAGACAAAAATACCCCCTGACTCTCATAGGTTTAGTCCAGTGGACAATTTTGATATTTCACAACACTAACCGTATCTGTTCACCCTGATGTGTACTGAATTAGCCTTTATCCAAAACACAGAAGTTGTAGTGCTATGTCTTAGCTTTCTAACGCCTCTGGAATCACCTCATTTGGACTTTGGTAGCCTGAGTTATTGTCATTTACGCATAAGGCAGTTAACAAGCCTGAATGTGAGATTCTGGTTCTGTTATTTGAGATTTTGACCTAGCTACACTACGAACTGGAATGAGTGGTCTTCATCAAAGTTGTAGCTCTCTGCCTTAGATTCGAAACGGTATAAATTTCACCCTAATCTGATAAACGTAGCTTCAGTTGTGCTCGTTACGCTAAGTGACGGCAAATCTGTCTTTTGACTTATGCCTCACATTTCATTTCCGGACATGTACCTAGTTTAATTTTGTATTTGTATGACTTTGAGCCTATTGAACGGCTATTGAAATGAGATTATTCTATGTGTGACTTTGGGACTGTTTGAGGAAAAAATTGAAGCCATAAATGGCTGGAAAATGGGTAAACACAAGGGGCATGCCACCAAATTTTCACGAGAAAGATAAACTAGCCTTTGGAGTTCTAGTTCTGTATTTTGCAAATTTAACTTGGATACACTGAAAAATGGGTTGAGGTATCTTCATGAAAGTTGTAACCTTTTGTTTAAGTTTCGAGACACTACCTAGTACATTTTGATTCGATAACCACAGCTCCAGTTATGGGCAAAATCGTGTAACCCATTTTGTACCATTTTCATTTCCACGCATGCGCAAGTGCATTTCTCAACAGTTTTTGCCATTTTGGACTGTTTAGGTCTAATTTTGTTATTTTGTTACCATTCCGGCCGCGGCCAATTTCGACATTCTTTTGGCCTTAACATTATTTTTTACCATTTTCGACCGTATTCGATCGTTTAAGTTATAAACTGCTATTGTATGGCCGTTTCGCTTATGTGTGTATATAATCTGTCAACACAAATTGTGAAGCTATTGATGGTGACGGTCAAACTCAGTGAATTGTATCGTTTTTTGTGTCAAGCTTTATCAAGTGAGTAATTGGGTTGTTATTGATGTGGAATTGTTAAAGTGCTTTGTATATGTTAAATGGGTACTTAGGCGAGGGTGTACTTTATCTCACTCGACTTGAGCCCATCATTTGTTTTGATTTCCTATGTGAGAATACATGCCTTATGTTGAGTATCACCCTTTTGCTGTGTGCTAATGAGGACGACTACATGACTTGAGTATCACCCTTTTGCTGTGTGCTGATGGGGGTGATTACATGACTTGAATTGAACCCCATTTGCTGTGTGCTGTTTGGGGTAAGTACTTTGTTGTGTACTTTGTTGAGATATACCATCTATTGAGAGATCGGATATCTCAGGGCTTGGTTCCACCCCGGTTCCAAGGGTTAGACGAACTATTCGAGCCAATTGGGGCTTGGTCGAAGATAGTTCCATGCTAAACTTGGGATTTAGTTCCTTGTTAAAGTTTTGACGAAATCTAAGTTATTTTGTTTCGCTCGAGCTGCTGTGTGCTATTGACTGGCCAGCGGGGGTTGATAAGGTGAACGGGGAAAGTTAAGTGGAGTCTACGGACCATGAGTACTTTGGTTGACGGAGTGTCAACAGGCGTTCAAGCTCGGGGAATTGAACTGGATTTGGAGCCACCCGTATCCTACCATTGTGATGTTACTTTTCTGTTATTGATGTGAAATATCCTGATTCACTTATTTAATCATGTGAGTTTACATTTTTACCCCTGGTTATTCACTAAGCATATAGCTTACCCCATTCTATTTGTTTTCCTTAGCAGGGGGCCGACGTGGGGATCGCTCGGGAAGGGGTTTAGTGTTTTGATTATAGACGAGTTGAACTTGTACTTGTTATAAGTTGACAAGTAAGATGTATATAGTTGTCGTGATGGTTGTAGTTATCAGCTTTTCTAGGGTTTACTTTCTGGTACTCGTGGTATGCATGACTTAATGTACTAGGTTGTGCAACTTTTGAAGATGTAATCGTTTAAACAGAATTTTCTTTTTGTGTGAATCTATTTTCTAGTTTTATGAGTAAGTGAGTCCTAGCGAGAGTTGGGCAGGCGACCCGCCGAACTCTGGGGTACGCCTTAGGGAGAAGTGGGGCTGTCACAATATATATGTATATAATCAGCACATAAAGATGCGAATACTACAAGCTAAGATTACGGAATCTGTACTGACCTATTGAGCGAGGCATCTTTAGTATCGAACGGAATTAATATGTTCTTACGCAGAGATATTTTCCCCTCTTCATCTTCTGGCTCATGTCCCTCTCCTACTCTCAAAAGGAACTCCGAGTATTGGTGATCCGAAATAGTTCGCATATTCTCCGATAAAGTTATTTTTTGAAGAGTTCTCCATAGAGGTGAATGAAAAAAGCTAGCCTGAATTTGTTGGTCCCTTGAAGCATTTGGTATAATAGGCAAGGTTTGTCAGAAGTCACCTCCAAAAACCACAACCTTACCTCCAAAAGGTTTATCAAAATCCATGACTTCCTTTAGCAGCAAGTCAAATGCTTCAACAATATCTTTTTTGGCCATGGACGCTTCATCCCAGAGAATTAGTTTAGCAAGTGTGATCAGTCTTGCAACAGAGTTTTGTTTACTAATCTGACAAATTTTGTTTGCGGACACATCCAAAGGAATCTTAAAGCGCGAGTGTGCAGTCCGGCCTCCTGGAAGAATAGAAGCAGCCACACCAGACGAAGCAATAGCTATTGCTATGTGACCACGAGACCTGAGCGTTGCAACAAGGGAACGATAAAGAAATGTCTTTCTTGTTCCACCAGGCCCGTCAACCAAAAAGCTTCTACTTCCTGAGGAGAGGACTTCAGACATAATGACATCATAGGCATGTCTCTGGCCTATGTTCAACTTCGAAGACAAAAGCAACTCCTCCTCAGTAAATGGAATATTTCTTTCATTCTGAATTTCTTTTGTCACTCGTTGATCAGAAGTAAAGTGGAAGTTGTCAGGCACAAGATGGTAATCACCAACATTTTTCCCTATCTGTTCCAACATCTTATTAATATCTTGCAGAACACACCTTCTCACCTCTTCCGAACCATAACCAGAAAGATCTTTATTTCTTTTAAAATCAGAGGATAGGGCACCTTCATACTTTTCCCACAATGATTTTGGATTACTGGGCGAACAGTAAACCAACAAAGTTGCAAATAAGGTCCTCAGTGAACATGGCATCTGAAACGATGCTGCATCGTCGAGAGTGTCCTCTACATGAGTATCAGACTGCAGAAGACCCATCTGAAAGGCACTCTCTCTATACGATTGAGCAAGATTGCCATTAACAGTCAAAAGATCCTTAAAGGATTTGGGAGCACGAACATGAGACAGTAGCAGCCTAAGATAATAACGCTCACCTT